GGTGGGAGGACCACATGAGGACTGGAGCTGGAGACCAGTTTGGGCATCAGAGCAAGACCCACCCCATACAAAAAATTTTAAAAAATAAACAGAAAAAAATAAAAAGAGAATTTATATTGTGTCATTCTACTTAACCCTTTTTAATGGTTCTCATTCATTCACTACATTTTTGCCGAATATCCTCTGTGTGTCAGGCCCTCAATAATCCCTACCCTCATGAAATAAATGAAGTGCAGGTTAGATAGCGGTAAGGGCTATGAAGAAAAATAAAGAAGGGGTAAGGGAGGGAAAACTGTGTGTGTGTGTTGCTACAATTTTAAATGGCGAGTCCAGCGAAAGCTTCACTGAGACTGAGTAGGTGACCTCTGAGCAAAGGACTTGAAAGAGGTGAGGGAGTAAGTAAGAATATTCCAGACAGGAGAATAGCAAGTGCAAAGGCCCTGAGGTAGAATCCTGACTGCCTTTAGGGCTGAGCAGAGCAGAATAAAACCCAAGCTTTACTATATACTATGGCTTATAAAGCAGCACAGTCCACCTCCCATCCCCCAACAAGAACAAAAACAAGAAACAGCCTTCCTTCTGTATCTCCAACTCCCTTTCCTGGCACTCTCCCTCTCACTATATTCCATCCACACCGGTCTTCCAGTTCACCAGAAGCTGTTTCTTGCTTTTGCCTGTGTTGTGCCTCTGCCAGGAATACTCCTCCAACCCTTATGCCCATAAACAATTTGCAAGGTTGGCTCTGTCTCATCCAATAGGTCTCAGTTTAAATCTCACCTTAGGTCTTTTCTCACCACAGGACTTAAAACAGGTCCCTTCTTGCTATTTTTTTTTCCTATGTCAGCTTCCTATTTATTTCTTTCCTGGCATCTATCACACCATACAATTACGAATTTTACTTAAAACTCAAAAGGTACAGTAAATGGTATCTCTCTGCCATTTAAACTTGCATTTGATCACCAATGAAGATTAAGCATTTTCCTAAGTGATGGTTAGTTTTAGTATGAGCTCTTTTCTGTATTTTGGCCAAAGAAATGCTCATTTAAAGTCCCTATGTCTTAAGGATGAGAGCAGGGCTGGCCAGCTGAAACCCTGCCGCGTCCACTTGTCTGGGGGGAATTTATTTTCCCAAGTTCCTGGCAGAGGCAGTGACTCATGGTGACTATCTCTTCACAGGAATGATTCCAAAACCCAAACCCATTTAGAGGAAAGTGTTTTACTTCGATACAACCAAGTTGTGAAAATGGGCAAGAAAGTTGCATTTGAGTGGTGCCAGGTGTCACCATTACGCAGTTACTGAGCAATTATTAATGGCCATCTAATGATGCATTACAATGAAATGACAGTTACGGGGAAGCTCAAAGCCCCGAACAAGGGGAACTCTGTCCCTCATCGGCCCTCCACCTTTTCCAGGGAGCTCTCCGTCCTGAGGCAGGAGATGGCCTAACTGACCCCTGGAGCCCGCCCAGAGCCGAGGCAGTGGAGCCCGTGCAGGGTTTGCGGAACACAGGAACGCAGACGCCACAGGTGGGCAGGCTCCCGCCAGGCCCCTCTCCCAGGCCCAGCCGAGATCACAGCTCCTCTCGCGAGAGCACGAGCAAGGCTCGGCTCCGGGCGGCGGGACATTCGTGGGGCGCTCCAGACCGCGCCCCCTCTGGCGCAGCTGGGAGAGGCGCTGGCGAGGTGCGGCCGGGAGCGGCCGGCTGCGCGCACGCGCAGGTGAGCGGAGCGGGGCGAGCGCGGGGGCGCGGGGGCATGAGGGAGAGGGGCGGGGCTTTGCGTCGCGGCGCGGGCACGTCGTTGCGCGTCTTCTGTATTTAATGTCTCTCTGTTCCACCAGCCTGGGCGAGCACGTGGGGGAGCTGCTGGGGCGCCGCGCTGCTGGGCCGGGCCGCGGGGCAGAGGCGGGGGCCGGGGGGCGGCGGCGGCGGCGGTGGCGCGCGGACTCTGCACGCCGGCGGTCGCCGAGGAGCTGGTAGGTTGGGGCCCCGGGAATGGCTGGCCCGGGGAACCCCGAGAGCGGTGCAGTCGGTGTGATGGGGAGTCTGGGGTGCAGGTGCAGCGTGCGACGCGCGCTCTGGGTGCCCCGGGAGCCAGAGGCGTGGGACGTCGAGCGTGTGCGGAGGCCTCCGGCCACCTCCCGCTGTCAGGCAGGCCCTTTCCCTTCCCTCGCCTGCGCCCCCTCGTCCTCCCCCGCCGGCGTGTCTGCCCGCGGGCTCCTGACAGATCGCGTGTGCCCGGCTCTGGGCGGCGCTCTGCGGCCGCGCCGGCCCCCCACGCGCGTCGCCGTCCTCCGCTGGGGAGCGAGGACGCGGCGCCCGGGACGCCTCTCTGCACCTTAACTTTCCCTGAGCGCGTCCCACCCAAGGTCGCCCAGCCCCACATGCGTTTACTTTTCAAAGGTCGTGTGTACCCAGGCTGAGCAGGGAGAGGCGGCGGCGGGGCGGGCTCTGGGCAGGGCCAGGTGCGCGGAAGGGCAAGGAGGTCCCCCAAGCCCGCGGGGATCCCTCCCGCTTCTGAGGGGTTAGAGTTGAATTGGTCCCTTCCGGAGCCTCACCCAACTTCTGGGCCCTCGGGCTCGCCCCGGGTGGAGCCCCACCGTGGGCCGGGCGGCGGCGGCTGACCCCAGCAGGTAGCCCTGCGCCTGGACTTCGGTGCGGAGAACGAGGGGAAAGGCTCGGCTTACGGAACGGGGAGGATGGGCTGTGCGACTCGTCGTGATCCGGTCGGATCGTGTTTCGGGCGGAGGGGCCGTCTGAACCGTGTTTGGGTGCGGAGGTCCCAGGCTTGGGTGTTTCGAGCGGGATTAGCATTCGTAGCCCCTTACGCGTGTCCGGAGAGGCGGAGGCCGCCCAGCCTGATGTGCCCGCTGACTTCAGCCTGGGGGCGCCGAGGGTCACGTGCCAGGCTCTGCCTGAGGCCCTCGGCCTCTGGTCCGCGATCTGGAGGGACCACGTTTGTTTCGGGGTTACGAGCTACAGAGTGCTTGGAGAGGCCGGGGGCTGGGCGCCTCCAGGGCGGGCTTTCCGTGTTCAACTATTTAGTGCCCTAGGTTAAGGTTCTTCCATTTCCCCTCCCTGGGAAGGCTAGGAGAGGAAAGGCGCTGATGGTGGTGGGCGGTGCAGAGGCGACTCCGGACGGCATGGAAACCCTGGGTGTTCCCGGCTTTTCCTCACCCGAGGAGATGTCCAGGGTTGGCGGGTGCCTCCCAGCCCCTCTGCCGCGGTTAATGCAAACCCGGTGGACTTCGCTCCAGGTGCGAGGTGGAGGCCGCTCAAGCCGGGTAGGGTGTATGCGCTGGGCAATTAGTGAGGTTAAAACTATCTTTCCCCTACTGAAGTGCAGGCTATTTGGTGTTTAAATTTATCTCCTGTAGTGAAATCTAGGCTGCTGGACCTGGTACAACTGTATCTGTTAGTTACTGATCAGGGAACACCAGTTCAGAAAAAGCTATTAATTCTGACAACCAGTAACCTTACATGCTCGTGTAACTGCTAAGTCCTTCCCAAATTAGTACCTTTTTTTTTTTTTTAAATCTTTATTTAGAAAGCAAAGCTTGGACTCTTAGCACCACCCATCCACTTTGCTCTTAAAGGTACAGAGCATCTTTGAAGTGAAGAGAGCGGCCCGATTGATCATTTATCTGATTTCTCTGTTCTTGGCACTCAAGTGGTTCACCTGCTGATTATTTAAGACTTCTTCTGAGCACTGGAAACCAGTGAAGTTCTGTTTTGGGAGCTTTTTTGACTTGTGTTGGACCTTTCCTCTTTCACCTCTAACACGTTTGGGAGGTTCTGGGTAATAATTCCTGGGTGTATTCTCTATGAAACATGGCTCTAGGTTAGAGGAAGTTCTCTGGATCCTACAGGTATGCAAATTACTAAAGCTCAAGTCCTTCACTGGATTAAATAGGCTCCATTGTCATGCATGTTTTAAGTGATGGCTCAGAACTTGTAGGAACTGAGCCTAGCCTGTGAGTGAGGCTGGTCTAAGGGATTTGTGTCTAGGTGGGGTCCTTTGTAGGAGTGTCTCTCCCACCTTCCAGCTGTTTCTAGGAAATGCATTCTCACTTGGCCACTGCAGGGTGACAGTGGAGCTAGCTGTCTGTTGTACACGGCCTGCTCAGGTGCTGAAGTCGGTGTGTCTCCACTTGCTGAGGATTAATATTTTAAAGCCATTTGTCTTGCTACCTGGTAACCTAAATTATAAGAATAATTATAATTATTCTTGGGCTTTGGATGTATAGCCATAGTTTTGGGGAAAGGCTAGTTTTAGCCACCACAGTGTTCCTTCGCCATCCTGAAGACAAATGGAGATCATATTTGTGAGACTGTACTGTGCCTGGTTCATGATAGGTACTTAAGCATTGTCCCCCGCCCCAAAGAAGCCCTGAGTCTTTCTCTGGAATCACTTGAGTGATTTAAATTTTATTAAAAGCACGCCTCCCCCTAGCTTCTGACCTAGAAACTTGGTTGGAAGGAAAAGGGAAACAAATTGGTTTCCCCGAGCTTTGAGCTTTGCCAGCTAGCCTCCTGGCTCTAGCTTGCAACAACATGACTTGCGAGTGGGCATTTCAGGGCTTTGAAGAGCAGGCAGCTCATAGCCCATGAACCTGGAGAGCTGTCTTGTTTTCCCCTAGGGTCTCCTTCCTAATCTTGTCTGTGAGTCTAGAATGATCAAGCTTCCCTGTAACTTGGTCTGTTTTCCTATTGTGGGGAAGTCATTTGTTTTGGATATGAGTTAATACTTGCAGCTTGTCATTCTGAGTTTTCCTCAACGATGGAAAGGTGGTTAGTCCTAGGGGCCTCTTGTCCCACTGAAATCGTCTCATACTGTTCAAGAGTTGCTTATCTCTGTAGTGGGGTATATTTTAGTCCCAAACCTTGCTTCCTAGGGCAGGTTCTGTTTCTTCCACATTCCTTCCTGGTGGCGTTTCATTATTATGATCCTTTCACATCAAGGACCCATTGTATGTGACATCCCACTGAGGGAACCTGCTGACCCCTGGCACCTAATTTTAAACTTGGGTGGTAGAAAACATGATCATTGAGTGTGTTTGGAGTAGGGCAGGGTCTGGCTAGAGAAGTAGCTGGTGAGGACATGGGAACTAAAATTTGGAGGCTGCTTCTTCGTTGACAGTTACTGTGCTAGGTGAGTTACAAGCAAACAGCTTCCTAATCCTTTAATCCTCACACCTCTGAGTACAGTGCAGGTGAAGCTGGAGGTCATTCCCAATTGTTTCAATGGCTGTCACAAAAATACAAATTGAGAGGTAGAGAAACTAACAAGGGTGGGTTTGGACTTGAACTAGGTCCTCTGGAGCGCTTTTGTGAGAAGAACCAAGGAATATTCTTAAATCCATGGGCTTCTCTCTAATCTTTCCGCTGCTTTCTAAGCAGACTGTTGCAGTGAGTGTTATCGTTGAGCATTCTGAGGACTGGCTTTCCAATAATAAGTAGCTTTCAAGGTGTCCTTTTCCTTAACTTTTTCTCCCGCTAAATGGTGCAACCCTGCCTTCGTTCTGTGCAGGTCCTTGCCACCTGGACGTTTCTGCGGCTTGGTTTGATAGTTTGCAGCAGTTGGTAGTAAACATTCTGTTCCCTGTCCTGTAATGCTGGCTGGCTGTGTTCACTTAGCCATGTGTCACTGAGGCCCGCTTGCCCTTGGGAACAAAGCAAGGCCCGAGGTGAGTTCTGAAAGTAAATGTATGCAGAGCTCAGGGCTGACCAGGCTTGCCTCACCGCTGGGCTTAGCTGGCAAGAGCCCTGGATTGGGTGCAGCTTTCAGAGCTGAAACCCAGCTGTGGTTCTGGGCAGGCCCGTTCTCAGCCTTCTGGAGTCTTCAACCAGTACAAGAGGGCTGGTCAACGCTAAAGACATTAAGTTTGTGCTCCTGGAGCCCTGGTGTTTGGGCTGGGAAGCATAATTGAGTGGGTGGTACAAATCAAAGACTTAAAAAATCTACTGTTTTCTGTTCTGCTCAAATTCTCTTAGCTCTAAGATGCTACTGTTCTAAATATTTTTATTTTGAAAGATAACTCTATTTGCCTAAATCCTTGGGTAGGGGGAAGGGTTTAGAGCTGCCCTGTTTATAGGGTAGCTACTGGCCATGTGTGGCTAAATTTAAGCTTTTTAAAGCATTAAAATTTAAAAATGAGTTCCTCAGTGATACTATCCACATTTCAAGTTCTCAGTAGCCTCATGTGGCTAGCAGCTGCTGTCCTGGGCAGTACTGGGCAAGAGCATTTTCATCATTGCAGAGAGTTTTGTTGGACAGTGCTGCGCTAGAATGTTCTTTGCCCAACTCTAAAAGCTTAATTGCCTCAACTTGTGAATCTCTAAAGCATAACATGTTGGGGCTTATCTTCCGTAGTCCATAAACCCAACAGCTTTGGTGACAGATTACTTATATGTATATTGGTTCTTTTCATGGCATGTTAAGAAGGGAGTTCTTGTCTGCCAGTTGGGAGGGGCGAGAGCAATTATGGAAGAGTTTGAGGCAGGAGCTTAGCAAGGGGCCTGGGGACAGAAGCATGAAGCCTAAGGGCCCGGTGCTAAGCCTTTAGAAAGCCATTTTGGTTTGAGAGCCTGTTTATTATCATAAAGGTCCTGTCTGGTTCTCCAAGACCTGTGTTCATTGTCACTGGTCTCCAAATGTCAGGTGTCTCCAGATCTGCTACTTGGGCCTTCACCTGATGACTTCTTAGTGTGGACCCTCTGAACTAGGTGGCATTTTCATTGTGTTTCCTCCAGTCCATCTAAAAGTTAGGGGACACTCTTTGTCTTCATGAGGGAGTTGGGGGAGAGGCCACGTGCGGGTCCTGACATATTGGTGTGGCGTGGAGGGGGGTGCTTTATTTCCAGATGCCTCCTCATCTGGTCCTGGATGTGCTTTGTTAGAACCCTGCTGGACTGACCTTTGGCATATAATGTGAGGTCTCTGTTCTTGGAGCCAGACAGCATAAGACACTTACTGAGCACGTACTGGCATTTTAGGTGGGTTCTTTTGATCTATGCCATTTTTATTCTCTCTCAACCCTGTCAGGTTAAGTACAGCATCTCTAGTTTGTGGGTGAGGAAGCTGATCCCAGGACATGGGGAGGGTGGCTGGCTTTGGACCTGGGTTAGGGAGTACCCTCTTCTCCCCTCCCCCTTCCTTCCCTCCATGTGCTCAGAGGCTGTTCTTATTTACTGCTCCGTTATCACTCCTTCCTCACCCAGAAAACTAAGCTGGATATTTGAAAGGTTAAAACTATTTATCCCCAAAACTTGAGTCTGACTTGTTAGTGTTTTGAGTCATTTAAGCCTCATTAGAACCTTGCGGATCCTTATCCCATGATAGGACATTTTCCTTTTGTGGGAAACTGAAGTTTCCTACTCTTTAGCCTTCTTATCTTTGCAAAGCCACTTTTTGTCGTCAGAATTGTGCAACCATCAGGTCCTTTTGAAATGCACAGGCAATGACTGAGTGAAAAAGCCTCCTGGGCTAGGAAGACTAGGTAGCTGTGCCTGAGGGAAACTGCTCAGAAGACTGAGCTGGTTGAGAAAGACGTCCTTGAAGTCACTGATTCCCCAGGCCCGGCAGACCTCACAGGGAGGTCACAAGCCCTTCCCCTGTCCCTCAGCAGGCTGTCACCCAGCAATAGCTTGCCCCA